TGCAGTTCCGGCAGCAGCAGCACTCGGAGACGCTGGTCAAGCTCCACGAGGAGATCGAGCACCTGAAGCGGGAGAACAAAGGTGAGGCCGGCGGCGGGCCGGGGCCCAGAGGGGCGCACCCGAGAGGGACAGACAGGAGAGGGACAGACGGGAGAGGGACAGAGCCTGCGCCCTCCCGCGGCCGACACCGCCGACATGCGGGGCGTCCCCTCCACAACCCCGTCCAGTCGTGCTGGGCGCGTCCCCGGGCCCCAGCCCAGAAACCCAGGTGGCCGTGGGCTGTCCCCTCCCCTCTGCCCGTCCCTCGTGGGGACCTCAGTCTGAACCTTCACCCAGCAGCCCCCTTGCTCAGGGCCAGGTCCAACTCAGGGCTGACAAACTTTTTATGGAAGTCAAACCCAGAGGGGTGAGCGCGGCTGAGGTTCAGGAAGGGAACATGCCCAGAACCCCAAAAGCCAGCTCTGGGGGCACCTCCACCCTGCCCTGGACTCTCCTGCCAGCGCCTTCCTCGCCTGGGACCCCTCCCGGCTCCTCATTTGTGGGCCAGGCCTGCAGAACCACGGCCTTCAGTGACAGTGATGTGACTGCCCACCCCGCCCCACACGTGGCCTGCCTGCTTCCCTCCCACTCCCGGGGCACCCGTGTGCCATCACCGGGCATCTGCTGTCCAGGGGCCCCCCTTCCCCATGCCTCCTCGAGGCTCACCCTTTCTCCGACGCCCAGCCCAGACCCCACCAGCCCATTCCCAGGGACCACTTGGTCACGTGGGTACTGACCACATTTACCCTACCACGGCCAGGGTCGCCCAGAGACTGGCCATCCTGACTCACCTCAGTACCCCTGGAGCCCAGGCTGGGCCTGGCAGAGTGGATGCCCTGAAGATGGCATGGACGAGGGTGGGGGGACAGGCTGTGTCCTGGGCGGGTCTCCCACCGTAGGGACTCGGTCCCCAAACCAGCAATCGGGCCTGGGGTGCCCTAGGCCAAGACCGGGTGGAGAAAGCCCACTGGGCAGTGGGAGCAGAGGCCAGCCAGGACGTGAGCCAGGACACCGCCCCCCCACTCCCCCCACACACACAGCAGGGAAGGAGTGGGCAGGACAGGCCAGGCTGCTTTTCTGCAGCAGCTGTGGCTTTGAAAATGACAGATGAGGGGAACCAGCAGGTGGCGCAATGGTTACATCGCTGGACTCCCATGCCCTCGACTGAGGTTTGAGTTCCGGACCTAGTGGTTTAAAACACACCTGGCGCAAGTGGCATGGTGGTTAGAGGTGCTGGACTCCCACATGGCTGGCCACGGTTCAAGTCTCGGACCTGGTGGCTTGCTTTCTCACTTCCTGTCTCTTTGATCAAGCTGGAAAATAATAACGACAATAATAATAAAGTTAAATAAAATAATTTAAAAAACATGCACACATACCAGGCGCATGTCCGGCGTGCCCAGAATCCCGAGAAAATGGAGAAGGGATTGCAACGTGGCCATCCCCCTCTGGGGGATGATTTCTCGCTTTCTGTCTCTCTCTCTCTCTCTCTCCAGCGAGCGCACACACCCTGTAGCAAAAAAATTCTCTCTCAAAAAAAAAAAAAATGATAAGAGAGAGGCCAGCAGGTGGCATAGTGGTTAAGACACTGGACTTCACATGGCCGGCTGAGGTTCAAGTCCTGGACCTGGTAGTTTGTTTTCGTACATGCGTGTCCTGTAGCAAATTAAAAGAATAATAAAAAAATAATAAAAAGAATAAATAATAAATAAAAATAAAATATAAAATAAAATAAATAATTTTTTTGAGAGGTTTTTGCTATAGGGCGCATGCTTTCACCAGAAAGACAGAGAGAGACAGAGAGGCAGAAAGTGAGAAATCACCCCCCGGGGGGATGGCCACGCTGCAATCCCTTCTCCTCCATTCTCCTCTCGGGATCTTGGGCACTCACACACACGTGCCTGGCTTGAGTTTAAGCCACCGGGTTCGGGACTCGAACCGCGGTCAACTACTTGGGAGTCCAGCGACATAGCCATTACGCTAACTGCTGGTCCCATGGTATCTATGTCTCTCTTTATTTATTTTTTTGAGAGGTTTTCACTGTAGGGCGCGTGCGCTGGCCAGACAGACAGAGAGAGATAGAGAGACAGACAGGGAGAAATCACCCCCCAGGGGGGATGGTCACGCCGCGATCCCTTCTCCTCCATTCTCCTCTCGGGATCTTGGGCACGCACGCACACGCGCCCGTAAAATAAATAAATCTTAAAACAAAGAAAAGGAAACGAGAGCGCATGTGCTTGCTTTCAGATCTCCACTACAAGCTGATAATGAATCAGAAGCCACAGAAGAAAGGTAGGACCGGGCTCAGCGCTGCTGGGTTAAGCCCCGCAGCTGCTCCTGCGCACCTGGCTGTGCTGGGCCCGCCTGCTAACCTGGTGGGAAAGTTCTGGGGGGGCCTGTACAGGTGTCACTGCCCCGGCCATGGCCAGGCGACACTGTGCACCTGGGGCAGCTGGCGGAGTTCTCAGGGAGCCCAAGCCCTGACATCTGGGCAGTGGGGACAGTGCGGGGTCTTCCCAGCCCTCCCTCATCTAAACAGCTTCTGAAATAGGAGGGCCCCCGGGAGTAAGCCTCCCACCTCCCAGACCCTTACATGCTGGGGTGCTCGCCTCCTGGGGACCTGCTCCCCGCAGCAGCTCTGTGGAGGCTGGAGGGAAGGGAGCCGAGACTCAGGAACCTGCACACACTGTGCCAGGCACTTCCTGGTGCCAGGGGTGCCCTCACCGTGCTGGTCCCCCATCGGTGATGGTGCCAATCTGGGAACGTCCCAGTCCGGGTGGCGCCCAGGGTTCCCTTCCTGGGAGACGTGCAGAGAATGGGGCGATGGGAGCCCCTTTCCAGTGGGTGGAACAAGCCCAGAGGGCTGCTCTGGACCGAGCCTCGTCCGCGGGAGCCCTTGCGCGACAGTGGAGACATCTCACTCAGCCCTGCTCTCTGGACGGCCTTGGGGACAACCTTCTCAGTGGCCTGTGCTCCCTTGGACCCCAGGCTGGCCTGCGGCTTTCTCGGGCTGTGGAGGCTCTGTCAGACGTGCGGGCCAGGCAGCAGAGGATGGGGGTGGGGTGTGCGGAGGGCACAGGTGGGCGCCCGGGAAACGGCCGATGCCCAGGCCGGCCCGCGTGCTCTGTTGCAGGCAGCATCTCCACCGGGAGCTTCCAGTCCGTCAAGTCTGTCTCCACCACGACAGTGTCAGGTGAGCGGTGCCCGCCACCCTCCCCACACTCAGAGGGGCCTGGGGCGGCGCTGCAGACAGGGAGCCCCCACTCCGTGGGCCCTGCCGGGCAGACCCGTGGAGGTGAAGGGGCAGCTCCCTGGTGCTTGAGTGAAGCCACCAGGAGGGGGCTAGGAGACCACGGGCTGGTGTAGAGTGGCCTGGGGGGTGAAGCTACAAAAGCAGGGGCCACGGCTGGCCGACTGTCACCAGCCAGACTGTCGCGGGGGCCCCACACACTGGTCCTCCAGCAGACTCACCCAGCCCGGGTGAGGCGCGGCGGGGAAATGGCAGCTCGCTGAGGAGTCCTCCAGAAAGACCATGTGTGGGGGGCCAGCAGGTGGCACAGTGATTAAGGTGGTGGACTCTCATGCAGTGGACTGCGGTTCGAATCCCAGACCCTGTAGCTGGAAACACACCCAGTGCACATGCCTGTGTGCGTACCCAAAATCCCAACTGGAGGATGAAGAGGGGACTGTGGCGTGGCCACCACCCCTGGGGGGGTGGTTCTTCAGTGTCTCTCCAGCGAGTGCATGTGCCCTATAGCGAAAATCTCTCAAAACGAGCCCCAGACCATGTGTGATGGCCACCCCGCAGAAGCCCAGGCAGGCGGGGATCCCTGTGCCTTTCCTGCGGAGGCCGGTGTCATTCCACACAACGCCACACAGGGTGGAAGCTGCTTCCCTGGAAGGAGCTCCAGGCAGGCGGCGGGCTCCACCCCCAGGGCCCAGCAGCCCCCCCAGGGAGGCTGTTAGAGGATGAAACTGAGGCAGGGGCGTCCTGGGGACACTGAGTCCTGGAGACCTTGGGCAGCGGCTCTGGACGCCCACAGTGACTGGTTCCGTGGGGTCTGACCTGCAGCCATCTCCCAAGGGCGGGCCAGGGCCCAGCCCAACTTCAAGAAGCAGGACTCGAGGGCGGACTTGCCCCAGAAGCCGGACCTGGAGGAGGAGCTCGGCGCCGCCCCGCCTCAGAACGGCAAGCTGGACCGAGCCCCAGGGACGCAGGGCCAGGCCAAGTAAGGCTCGCCCCGCACCCGCCAAGCCCGAGGGCCCAGGCCCAGGCGGGCGCCCAGTTTTCCTCCCCCCACCCCGGAACGGGCGAGCGCTTCACTCCCTGGCTCCCGGCCCGTGCCCACGCCTGCCAGGCTGTCTGGTGGCCCCGCCACCCTCCCAGCCCTGGGTCCCGGTGGCCGCGCCTCCCTCCCAGCCCTGGGTCCCGTGGTCCGACTTCCGGCCTCCTCCGAGGGAACCAGCAAGCAAGCTGGCCTGGAGGACTCTGCTCACCAGGGCGGCAGTGCGCGCAGCTCCCGGGCCTGGCTAGGACCCGCCCTGGTGCCCCTGTGTGGCTGGGAGCTCGCAGCCACCAGGCAGCACACGGTTCCCGCTGCCAGCCCTGCCCGAGAAGCCCCCCTGAGGGGCCAGGACCGAGGCCCGCCGCTGTTCCCACCTGACCCTCAGCACAGCAGGGAGGGCAGGCCCAGGACCCCACAGCATCCCACCCGGTTGGCAGCCACGTGAACCCCTCCTCCCCCCGCTGGCTGGGCAGGCGGGGCTCATCAGCTCTGGGCTGCTGGGTGACTGTTTCAGGGAAGAGGAGGCCGAGGCCCACCCTGGGGCTGCCCTGGTGGGGGGCGGCCAGCACAAGGGCCGGCAGGTGGGGGTGAGCCTGCCCCTGCACCTGCGCAAGCCCGCCACGCTGCAGCAGTGCGAGGTCATCATCCGGCAGCTGTGGAACGCCAACCTCCTGCAGGCCCAGGAGGTGAGGCCTGGGCGGGCCGGGCGGGGCCTGGTTGGCACCCCGCAGGCCCCACCACGCCACCGCTCCCTTTCAGCTGCAGCACCTCAAGTCCCTCCTGGAAGAAAACCAGAGGCTCAAGGCCACCCCCGAGGCGGGACTTAGCTCGCCCAAGTGAGTGCCCCGGGGACCCCTGCCCATCGGCGGGCGGGGTCTGCGGCTCACTGCAGATTCTCCCCTGCCCAGGGACCGGGAGCCCACGCAGTTCCCCAAGGTCTCCACCAAGGGCCTCTCTAAGAAATGGTGAGTCCCCCACCCCACACACAGCACAGGGAGTGTGGGGCCTGCAGCCCGGTGGCCGTGGCCGGGGAGGACGCGGGTGGGGCTTGGAAGCCGGAGGTGACGCCCTGCGCCCCCCCCTCCCCGCAGCCTGGTCCTGAGCCCGCCCCCGGCGGAGCGTGCGGTCCTGCCCGCGCTGAAGCAGACCCTCAGGAGCAGCTTCGCCGAGCGGCAGGAGCGGCCTTTTTCGGCGGCGGGTCCGGGGTGGCCGGTGGCCACTGGAGGGCCTCGCCTCTCCACCTAGCACGGCTGGAGGACTCGAAGTCAAGCTGATCCCAAGATGGACGAAGCGGACGAAGCACTTGCTCTGGGCCGGGACGCGTTTATTTTCTTACTGACTTTGCTACTCTGCGTGGCCGTGGAAGCACAGCAGAGACAGCACGGCCCTCCCTGCTGAAGACCGAAAATAAAGCTCGTTTCTCCAGGTCGGGTCCTCAGGGCTGCCAGGTGCCCCTCCCCAGGCCGGGCGATCCTGGGAGACGCACCAGCAGCGCTGCACTCACCCTCCATGGAGGCCAGCTGGCCTCCCCGCTGCCCTCCCAGCACATGGCCACTCCAGGTCCCCTGCCCAGGCCGGACACTCCTGGGGGCCAGGCACGGACCCGTCTTGCCGTGACACAGCCCTGCGGACCAGTGGCCTAGTGGGACCCACCCCCGCACCCCAGGGCAGCAGCCATGTCCCCTGGGCATGGTTAGCTGATGCCCACCCGGGCCTGGCAGCGGCCCTCTTGCCCCACTTCCTGTTAACCAGCCTCTTCCTGCTCGAGGGAGCAGGAACTTTGCCAGGAACCGGTGAGAAAACCGACCTCGGCCCCTGCCCCTGCACAAGGAGGTGACTGTCAGGGGATGGGACATTGGTGGATGGGGGAGCCAGGGTCCGGAGTGTCCGGGACCAGAGTAGACACTGTCACTTCCAGGGCTGACAGTGTCCCCGTCAGGGCACTTGATGGAGAAGGGGGACACAGCAATGAACGAACTCCTGACAAACACAGGATAATAAATTTATTATAAGAACCACAGAGGGGGGTAGTGCACATATAAAAAGGGGAGCCTCTGTGACCCAGGGCTGCCGGGCCCAGTGCGGCAGGCACGCACGGGCGCCGCTGCTCACGCCCCGGCAGAGCTCCCGTCTCTGGAGTGGATCGGGCGCGTGGGGCTCCGAGGACGTTGCTGCCCAAGGACAGTGCCCGGCTGGCAAGTCTTTACCCTTCATGGAGGGACATGACACCCCGACTGTCACAGGGCAGGCTCCTCAGATGTCCCCGCAGCACTGACTGAGAACACCGTGAGGTCTGAGGCCCCGCGGGTGGAGGCGACTCCCAGAGGAGGCTGCCCCTGGGGCCAGGAGCACCCCGTGATGAGCCCCTGTGGAAAGCGGCGCGGCCCGGAACACTGTGACCAGAGGACTGTGTGTCGCAGGGCTTCCTATGTCCCCCGAGCTCTCCTATGGCATCGAGCCGTGTGTCCTGACACGGACACGCAGATGAGACCCGAGTCCCCCAGGCCCCAGACAAAGGCCACAGGGAGGGCGGCCCAAGGGGCGCGGGGTGGCGTCTGACGCCCTGATCTAGGCAGACAGACGCCTCCCTCCGTGCAGCCGGCTCCGCAGCCACCTGTCCCAGGACCGCACAAGTGGGAGGCGGTCTGGCAGGTCCCCGAGGCAGAAGATAGAAGCAGGAAAGCTAACCTAACCCGACTCTAAGGAAGCCCACACCTAGAAAGGTCCGATGGGAGGCACGTCCGCGGCCCGGCTAGGCCGCCGAGAGGCAGGCCTGGCGGATGCTCTGAGCCCAGGTGTTGAGCAGGGCGGTGACCGAGTGCTTGTCCGGGAGCTGCAGCAGCCGCGAGGTCATGTTGCGGTGCACCGACTGCAGGAAGGGGTTGGCGTCTGCAACAGAGCAGCCCGTGAGTGCCTGCCCCGCCCCGGCAGGGGTCCCCTGGCTGTGCGCTGGGTACCGTCTGCACCTGCTCCCTGCATAGCCGCCCTGTCGGTGAGGACTGGGAGCGCTTGGCCTGCAGCTGGAGCCCAGAGACCCCACCTACGGCGCTCTTGGGAAACTGTTTTTTTAAAGGTTTTGCTATAGGGTGTGTACACTCACAGGGGTGGGGAGGAAGGGGTGGAGGGAGGGAGAGAGACATCCACACCCCCCCGGAGGGATGGCCACACCACAATCCCTTCTCTATGTTCCTCTTGGGATTTTGGGCCCACACGCACACGTGCCTGGAGTGACTTTCACGCCCAGGTCTGGGACTAGAACCAGTCGGCCACGTGGGAATCCAGCACCTTAACCACCACACCGCCTGCTGGCCCCTGGGGACCCAATCCTGACCCTGAGTGTCAGCTCTGAGCCTCAAGGGCTGGGCCCCATCAACAGGCTTGGGCCAGCTCTGGAGAGCTACGTGGTGACTGGGAGCTACTGGGTCTGTCTGTGGTCCCAGGCTCATGGGCCCCACCACTGGGCAGCACTGCCCTGGAGCTACAGGATGGAGGAGACAAGGGACACCATGGGGGGCAGGTGTCTCCACGTGAGCCAGACGGCCCCTCCCGGCTCACCCACCATACTGCCACTGCCGGTCGATCCACAGCGGGCTCTGGGCGGGGTAGTCGGCAGGCACGCTGAGCTCCAGTGGTGGCACGCTGGGCAGGTCCTTGTCATCTGTAACACACATGCTGTACCTGTGACCGGCCCAGCTCTGCGGGCTCTGCACCCTGGCAGGCTCTGGCGAGGCCTGTGCCAAACCTAGAGGTCACTGTGAGCCTCGGGTCTGCAGCCGTGGTGTCGGGGAGCGCTCTGTGTAGATGCATACCCGGGTCCTGTCCCCCACCTCCCAGGGCCCGATGGGCAGGGAGGGGAGTGCAGGCTTGGGGAGGCTGTGGCTGGGTGTCCCGGAGTGAGGTCGGGAGGGCCGCGGCGAGGGCCGGCAGCCCCGGGCTTGCTGTGCAGCGCCAGCCCCCGCGGCTGTGGCCACACTCACCCAGCTTGCATATCAGGTGGACGGTGCCGTTGTTGCTGCAGTGGGAAGGGTCCAGGTTCACCAGGAACTTGGGGTCTAGCCGGGCCACCTCCCCCTGGAGCACGTTGGGGATGGTCTGCCGCTCCTCGTCCTCGAACCTGCGCTTCCGCGTGCACACCACCGGGGCCCTAGGAGAGGGCATGGTGAGCACGGCGGCCACACGCGGCCCTCGCTGCCCGCCGCGGGGCCCGGCCGGGTGCACGTACGTGATGGGGGGGCCGTGGATGGCCGTCATGGCCGGCACGAACGTGCGGTACAGGGAATGGTTGAAGACGGGCGAGCGGATGTTGGCCAGGACGGCGTCCAGGAGGGGTTGGCACAGGTACTGCTGTTTGGTTGGTGGCACTGGGGGTGGTGGGGGTGTGGGCTGGGGACAGGGAAGGCAGGGTCGGCACGTGGGGCTCATGACCTCACCCACTCTCAGGAGGCCCCAGACCCCAGGCCCCTCTGCCCTCATTCCCCGGGCATCTCCCCCAGCCCTGCCCTGCATGGTGCTGGCCACCACGCCCCATCCCAGGCCCTGTGCCAGGCCATCGGACACGGGGTGGCACATAGGGTGGCTTCTCCCACGGTCCCGCACCCCACGGCAGACCCAGCCTGCAAACAGCCTCCTAGGCCAGGTCTCCGGGGAGGCCTGGAGACAGGCCGAGCGCAGCCCTGCTTGCCCCGAGGGTCCCTCCTGGCACGCGTCCCCAGCGCTGTGGGACAAGCCCAGCCCCCCCCGAGGAGCCTAGCGCCCCCCAGGACCCTGGCAACCCCCCCCCTCGCTTGGCGACCTTCCCGAGGAGCGTGGTGATGCCCCCCAGAGGAACATGGCAATCCCCCCGAGGAGCCTGGCGTGCCACTCACCACGGCCATGTCGTTCTTGAGTTTCTCCAGGGCAATCTCGCACTTCTGCAGGGTCTTCAGGGGACACCTGCAGGGAGAGGAAGCATGACTGTCCCTCCCTCTGGGTTGCGACAGATGGGGGCGGCCCTTAGGCACTGACTCTGGCCACCGCCCATCTGCCCTCCAGGCTTCAGCCCGAGACCCCTGCGGGACCCCAGTGCACCGGCCACACGCTCCCAGGCTGCACGTACTGCCAGGCCGTCCCCGCCCTCGGAGCTGCCGTCCCCACCTAGAGGAACAAGGCGGTACAGCGGGTCCAGGGGAGGGGCAGCCAGGCCCCCAGGACCTGTTCCTGGGATCCCCCTAGGCCGGGAAACCTCAGTCAAGGCTAGGCCAGACCCCTCCCCAGCCTGGCCTCACACTCCCAACGCAGGAGCGACCCAAGAGGCCTAGGGCTGTCCAGCCCTAACGGGTCCCTGTCCAGCAGAGACATCTCAGCAGACAGGCCAAGCAGGGAGACCCCTCTGGAGGGTCCACACGGCCTGGGCACGGATGGCAGGACGGGGAAGTAACAGAGCCCACCCACGTGCACAGCTCCTGGGGCCCACAGCCATCCGTGGCCGGTGGGCAGGGCCTGAAGAGCTGAAAAGGCCCCTCCCAGGCGCCGTCTTGTCCACGTTCACAGCTGGCCCCTCTGCCGAGGGGTGGCCAAGACAGTCACCACCCACCCGAGCTCACCGTCAAGTCAAGGGCAGCGCTGAAGACCAGCCTCCAGGTCACGGCTAATGGTGACCACAAGGCAGAGGCAGGGTCATGGCCAAGGTGAGGCTGGCATGTGACCCCAGCACACGCAACTGAAGTGGAGGCTGTGGCCCTCTGAAGAGCCCCGGGAGCAGCCTGGGCCACTGCATCAACCCCACATCGTAGCGAACCACCGTGCAGGCCAGGCCAAGGCCGGTCCGGACAGCTGCCTGGCAACACTGTCCCCCAGGGCCTGGGCACAAAGCTCACCGCTTGGAGGGGTCGGTCAGAATGTCCAGGAGGCTCTTCATCTTACTCAGGTCCTTTTTTCTGTCTGGGACAGAGAGGAGACACTAAGCCACAG